TTTCTCTTTTTAATTAGGAGAAAAAGTATTTGAATCAGATTCACAATCCTGCAGGAGCAATTGGGTCATAGGAATAAAGTAGCCATTTTACTTGAGACGAGAAGAATATAATTTCCATAAAATTTGATTAATATATTACTTGGTGCTTTAAAAAAAGGCTCATGTAACAGGCTTATCATGACTCTCCCGCAAGTTGACAGTGTTAGAAATGCCATGATATTGCTGAACAAACTATAGTTATATTGTGAAGCATGTAAAATATCATGTTTAATCATTTGCATAGCAGTGTCTATGTTCAATATGGATATAACAGGATAAAGGAGTCATTTCAATGTATAGTATCCATACTATCTCCTCACTATTTATGAATTTCAGAATTTCTCAGTTCCTTTAGACTAAGCACACATTGTATAAGCAGGAAGAATTAAAATACACAAAGTTATCCTGAGGGCAGTTTTACAAGAACTAGTAAATTAGTATGCCCATTTAAATTTTGAAATCTCTCTTCCTAAAATTTGTGTATGCATAAAAATAATCATTTTAAGATAATAAAACATCACATAATTGTGTGTTTAGATACACACTGACATATCTCTTTATGCTTGTATACATGTATATGTGTATTTTGCCAAATAGTTTATTTCAAATAGTATGTTCACAGTGAAATCTTAAACAAACCCTTTATACATAATACTTAGAAAATTTCCTTCCAGACAAGTCTTTTCTTGAGAGCAGATAACAATTTATTAAAAAATCTCAAAATATGACAAATACACTGATGTAACTTATGTTTACTTGCATACTCAGAGTAAGTATTTAGCTGTGTTCAATTCCTCATGATTCTAAGTCATCATTAATTTGCACTGATGAAAGGGATATCCTTTATAAATTAACAAATTTAATGTGTCAAATTACTGAGGGAACAAATATTGCTTAAACAAGGAGATTGCAGGACTTCGTTTTTTCAAAGTCTATAATTGCAACATAAAATTATTTTATATCATACTGATAATGAAAGCCTTTTTCCTTAAATCTGTGAATTATACCCACAACACACGTAAAATGCTTGCAGAGTGGTTTTAATAGACAAGGTTAACTTTTCTTATTAACAAGATGCTTTATAAAATGAAGACTTCTTTGCAGTCAAAGTGTCTGTTAATTTCTGAGTTTGTATTTTCCCCAAGATGCCTTAGAAGGTTTTTATTAGGAACCATAATCATTAAAGATATTTTTAAAGTCTCTAGGATAAATACCTAATTTTATTTTATTTTTTTAT